GTTGCTACGGTCAGTTACCATGGCAACCATTATACATTCCAATTGCTATGCTCAGTTACCATGGTAACCACCAGACAGTCCCATTATTATAGCTGGTTACCATGGGAACCATCAAACAGTCCTGTTGCTACAGTCAGTTACCATGGTAACAATCATACAGTCTCAATGCCTTGGTCAGTTACCATGGTAACTATCATACTTTCCAAAGCTTCAATAAGTTACCATGGCAACCAGCATACATTCTCATTGACAAGGTCAGTTACCATGGAAAAATCACACATTCCCATTGCTATGGTTGGTTACCATGACAACTATCACACATTCCCATTTTAATGGGTTGTTACCATGGCAACCAACATACATTCCAATTACTACGGTCAGTTAGCATGGCAAACACCAAACAGTCCCATTGCTACAGTTGGTCACCATGGCAACTATCATACTTCCCACTGCTACAATCAGTTAGCATGGCAACCATCACACATTCCCATTGCTATAGTCGGATACCATGGATACCATCATATATTCCCATTTATACGGTCAGTTACCATGGTACCCAGTATAATTCCCACTGATACAGTCGGTTACCATGGCAACCAGCATACATTCCATTTGCTATGGTCAGTTACCATATCAACCATCAGACATTCCTGTTTCTACGATCGTTTGCCATGGCAACAATCATACATTCCCGTTGCTACAGTCGGTTACCATGGGAACCATAATACATTCCCATTACTATGGTCAGTTACCACGGTAACCATTATCCATTCCAATTGCTATGGTCAGTTACCATGGTAGCCATCAGACATTCCAATTACTATGGGTGGTTACCATGGGAACCATCATGCATTCCCATTGCTACAGTCAGTTCCTATGGCAATCATCACACATTCCCATTGTTACAGTCAGTTCCCATGGCAACCATCATATGTTGCCATCGCTACAGTCAGTTACCATGGCAACCATCATAGAGTCCCATTGCTATAGTCAGTTACTATGGTAACCACCATACATTCTACATTCCCATCACTACAGTCAGTTACTATGGTAACCTCTTGGTTCCTCTTGGACAGAAGCAGATGCAGAGGAGCCTCCCTGTTGTCCACCAACCTGCCAGCTGTGCTCTAAAGGCCTGTGTCCCAAGGGCTGTCTTCACCAACACCCTGCACAAACCTCTGGGACTCTTTGCATCTTGTCGTGGTGCCTTTCCAGTGAATTCCAGGGTTATCAAAGTCAACTTCAATGGGCTCTTTGTCTCACTCCACAATGTCAACCAAACCAGTCTCTGCTCTGACCCTCACCCACAAAAGTTCACCCAATTTCTTCATTCCCCAGAGCAGCTCCACAGGTCCAAGAAGCTCCTTCCCGCTGAGGACACTTCTCTCCTGCTCTTTCTATCCTGGGTCTCCTTGGCCTTCTCTCCCAACCCTGCACAGCCCTGCAACCTGGGAACTGTCTCAGCAGGCCTGGGCTGTTATTGCCTCCCAGTGGAAGGAAGAGAGACTTGGGGCTGCAGCTCCTCCTGCCTGTGCCCCACACACAGGGCATTGGGGCCTGTCTGGCTGCAGCCCCTCAGCGGGGGCACCGGGGTAAGAACAGACTTGCAGTGGGCAAAGCTGCTCTGAAAGCCCCGAGAGCTGGGCTGTGCAGAGGCTTTGCTGACAATGGCCTTGGGGGTGGACGTGCTGTGACTCAGGCCCAGGGGAACAATCACAGGGCTGATCCCTGAGGAGATCAGCACATGCTGCTGAAATGCTGGGGGAGAGAAGAGCCAGCAGAGGGAGGAAACAAGTGTGGACAGCCTGGGCTGATGGGATTTGGACTCGTACCTGGCCCAACCTTGGCCGGGCAGAGAAGGGACAGCCTTTGTGTCCCTGCAGGGCTGGGATTCACTCCCTGTCCCAAAGGCCCCCAATGGGTCTGAGAAGCCCCGGGTGGTGCCTGTCCCACAACTGCTGGGAATGGGGACGGGGTCCCTGCACAGGCCCTGTGCTGTCCAGGGCAGCTGCTGCACTTGTGCTGCAGAGCCCTGGCACCTCCCCTGGCACTACAGGCCCCTCTTTGGCTGTTCAATCCAGGCTCAGCTGCCCTCAATTAGGTTCAGCAGTGAAGGGATGTCCATCAGACAACTGCCATTGTACTCTGAGGACATGTAGAAAATACCCTGATAAAGAACAGGAGAGAGACCTCTCTCCCTGTGCCACCTGACTGCATTTGGTCACCTGAGCACCTCTAGGGGCTGCCCTGGACAGAAGGAACAGTGACAGGTTCCTCTGTCCTACATGTGGGCCCCTTCTGCCACTTAATTGGCCAAAGCAATGTCCCAGCAGCCTCCAAGAAGATCCCACAGCTGCTGCCCTGTCCCTAGGAACTGCTCCATTGGAGCCTGCAGTTCCCAGCAGGAATCTCGGTCACCTCTGGCCCCTCAGAAGGAACCAGGGGTTTGTGTCCCAGCAGGTCACTCCTGGCTTTGGTCTTCCTTCATTGCCATGGGAGCTGGGACAAGGAGTCCCCTGCAGGGGCAGGAGGAATCCCAGCCCATGGGGCTTGTGGAGGGAGCTGAGTGTCCTTCTGGCCCCAGGTCTGCAGAGCCACAAGGAGACACCTCTGTTGACTCAGCTGAGTCCCTTCCCTCAGAGGGGGTGAAGGAGATCCCTCCTGGGCACTGTCTGGGTTTCCTGTCTAAGGATGGGACATGAAAAGGGGCCTCTTGAACTTAACTCTGTGTCTGTTTGGAGAAATGACAGTGCTGAAAGAAGTGTCTGTGCCCAAGTGAGAGAAGGAAGATCATGATTTCCTTCAGCTGTGTGCCAGCAGGTTCCTCTGGAGCCCCAGGGACAGCTGGAGGGAGCCCAGAGGGGCAGAGCAAGGGCTGCCTGGGGCTGTTGCTGTGCTGCTGAGCTGGACCAGGCTCCTGGCACACAGGGAGCTCCTGGCAAGCAAGAAGAGCTTCAAAGAGACAGCTCTGCTGGTGAGCAGCTCCTCTGCACAGCCCAGCAGGGCTGAGGGCACTGCCTGCAGCACCCAGGGCACAGGAGAGAAGGCAGAGAGATGAGAGGCAGCCTGGGCTGGGAGGTGACTGAGATCTCATTACAGGACAAACCTTCCCAGGATTTGAAGGAAGAATTCTCTGGCTGTAGGAAAGTTCAACTTGCCTTCCTGGAGGGATCTCCTCAAGCTGGCACATCCCACAGCTTCCAGGATCTTTCAGCAGGACTCTCCCAGTTGCTGCAGTGCAGGGGAAGTGGCCACATGGCAGAGCAGGGCAGGAGCTGCAGGCAGCAAGGGCAGAGAGGAGAAGGGAGCAGGAGGTTCAAGGGATCCTGGGCTGGGAGGACAGGGCAGAGCTGCTCAGGGCAGGAACCTTGCCAGCCCTTTGCCATGCTCAGGCTGTGGCTGCAGAGCAGTGCAGGTGAGTTCCTGCAAGTGCCTCTGCCAGCTGCCAAATGGCAGCAGTGGCAGGAGGTGTCAGGATGGCTCTGCTGGATTTGCTGGGGTGCAGCAGGAGAAGCTGCTGCAGAGTAGGAGTTGCTGCTGCCCTATCAGAGGCCCAGGGCCAGAAGGTTCCTTGTGGCAGGGCTGGCTGTGGGGTGGGAAGGTGGGGGTGCAGCCAGGGGTGCCCAGGGCTGTGGGGCAGAGCAGGGTCCTGCCCCCAGGGCTCTGTGTGCTGGGGCAGGGACTCTGCTGCTTGCCAGGGTCAGCTCTCAGCCCGGCCAAGGAGCTGCCATGGCCCTGCAGGGAGAAGGGGTGGGTGGAAGGAGTGACCCCCAGGGCTGGGCAGGGCTGGGCAGGGCCCTTCAGCTGCAGGCTCAGGGCTCCTCACAGCTTCAGCTCCACCTCCTCCATTTCCAGGGGCCCTTCTCAGGAAGCACATCCCCCCAGAACACCTCCCCCTTCCCAGCCACCACAGGGTCTCTGGGATCTGCTCTGCAGCCCCTGCCCAGGCAGAGCTGCCCCTGGGCACTGGGCTGGGGATGGCTCTGGCAGCACTGGCAGGGAGCTGAGCTGGGCCCAGGGAGGGGCTGCTGGCAGGAACAGCTCCTCACCCAGAGACAGGCAGGCAGGGAGAGGGAGCTGCTGCCACAAGTGCTGGGCAGGGGGATGGGGGCCCCTCCCTGCTGTCCCTGTGGCACAGACCCCTTCCCTGAGCAGCTCCTGCCTGGGCTCCTTTCCCAGCCTAAGCAGAGCCTGTGCCCTCAGGCCCACGGGGGCTGGGCTGTGCATTACCTTGCTGTACCTCTGCCATAGTATCTCTGCGCTGCACAGGATCCCCATGGAGAAAACTCCTCAATGCTAAATCCATGGAAATGCTCTGGGCAGCTGCAAGGAGCATTTTGTGTCTCAGTCTGGGAGGGGAGAGATGAAAAGGTGAGGAGTGTGTCAGTCTGTTCTTTGGACATGGATTCCTGGATCTCTGGGCAGTTTCTTTGGAGGGGAACAGTTGAGTGTGATGCTCCTCCAGCTCCAAGCTGCCAGCACAGGGCAGCTGAGCCCAGGACTGATGGGCAGAGCAGCTCTTCTCTCTGCACTAAGGGACCATCCCTGTGCCCCTCAGAACCCACAAGACTTGACCTGCAGTGCAATAGGAATGTCAGGGATTTCAAACATCCACAACCACTCCTAAGTGTGGCAGGTGCAAGTGCGTGAACAAATCCAAAGAATTCCCTCAGCTCAGTCCTTCATTTGGGCAAATTGCAAATAGCAAAGCTGAGAAGCTCTTGGATGTATCACGAGTACATTTAATTCGATGTCACCCTGCATTCTGACTCGCATCTTACTGCAGAGCAAGAAGGAGTCCTTGGGAGCCCATCACAGAGTTCTTGCTTCCAATGGTCCCCTCAACCAGGAAAAGCCAGAGCTCACGGGAGGTCTGAGTGAGGAGAGAGAGCCTGAGAGTGGGGTGGCTGAGATGGGTAATGTTTGGCTGCAGAAGCCTGGTCTAACTCAGCAGTGACTTTTCCTCCTAAACAGATCAAAATACCCTGGGGAAGGAACAAATGCCCAACAGCAGCTCCCTCACCCACTTTCTCCTCCTGGCATTCACAGAAAAACGGGAGCTGCAGCTCCTGCACTTCTGCCTCTTCCTGGCCATCTCCCTGGCTGCCCTCCTGGCCAACGGCCTCATCCTCAGCGCCGTAGCCTGCGACCACCACCTGCACACCCCCATGGGCTTCTTCCTGCTCAACCTCTCCCTCACAGACCTGGGCTGCATCTGCACCACTGTCCCCAAAGCCATGCACAGTTCCCTCCAGAACACCACAACCATCTCCTACAAGGGATGTGCTGCACAGGCCTTTTTCTATCTATTCTTCTTCTCAGCAGAGTTTTCCCTCCTCACCATCATGTGCTACGACCGCTACGTTGCCATCTGCAAACCCCTGCACTACGGGACCCTCCTGGGCAGCAGAGCTTGTGCCCACATGGCAGCAGCTGCCTGGGCCACTGGCTTTCTCACTGCTCTGCTGCACACAGTCAATACATTTTCCCTGCCCCTGTGCCAGGGCAATGCCCTGGGCCAGTTCTTCTGTGAAATCCCCCCCATCCTCAAGCTCTCCTGCTCACGCTCAGGTTACCTCAGGGAAATTGGGCTCCTTGGGGTTAGTGGCTGTGTAGCACTGGGTTGTTTCATTTTCAATGTTTTCTCCTATGTGCAGATCTTCAGGGCTGTGCTGAGGATCCCCTCTCAGCAGGGACGGCACAAAGCCTTTTCCACGTGCTTTCCTCACCTGGCTGTGGTCTCCCTCTTTATCAGCACTGCAGCATTTGCCCACCTGAAGCCCCCCTCCATCTCCTCCCCATGCCTGGATCTGGCCCTGTCAGTTCTCTACTCAGTGGTGCCTCCAGCACTGAACCCCCTCATCTACAGCCTGAGGAACCAGGAGCTCAAGGATGCCCTGAGGAAAATGATGACTGGATGCTTTTCAGGAGCAATAAAGTGCCTGTTTTCTGGTGTGTAGCATTCAGAATGGGACTCCTTAATGGCCCAGCCCTCCTGCTCAGGTTTTACGTGGAGGTCATCGGGTTCTTCCTGAAATAATTTTCTTTGCAATGAAATATTATTTTGAATCTACCTTCTAATTTACTGTCTACCCACTGTATTTGACCCAGAGATGTAAAAATGATGTATTCTTCTCTCTGAGGATTTAAACAAAATAAAGGACCCTGAAGTGCCTTTTTTGTCCAAGACCCTTCTTCTCAGATGTTCCTAAAGGACAGCACACTGCAGGACAGGGTGTATTTGCAAACGGGAAGGGGACAATAATCCCAGCCCAGCAGCACTGCCAGGGAGCAGCAGTGCTTGGTCTTTGCAGAGCTGCTCTCTTGCCACTTCCACACTGTCCTCCTGAGCCCCTTTCTCTCTGAGCACAGTCCTGTTGGGTGAAAGCCTTTGGAGCACAGGCCCTGGGAACTTGTGAAGCAGAGCTGGGTTCCCTTCCAGCATCTCCAGGATGCTGTGGGATCTTCTGAGGCCACTGCATGGACTGGGTCACTTCTTCTGTCACCATGCTCCAGGGCTGCAACTCTCCTGCAGTGTCACCATGACACTCCTGCTCTCTGCTTTCCAGGTTCCCTTTTCAGATCCAATTTTCCCCTCCTGTTCACAGGGACATCCTGGGAGTGCTTCAGAGCTGCCATCCTGGGGCAGCTCCTGCCCAGCGTGGGCAGGCACAAGGTCTCTCCAGCTGCTCCTCTCCCCTCCCCAGTGCCACTGTTTTCTGCAGCCTCCTCCTCCTTGCCCAGCACAGCCCTCCTGGCACAGTTGGACACAGCCCTTGTTCTACCCCCTCCTCAGGCACCTGCCCAACCCCTTCAGCTCCAGCCTGATGGCCACAAACCTTCAGGGCAGGGAGGCACCAGGGAAAATGCTCAGGACACCCATGGACTGCAGGGAGAGACCACTGGAGTGGTGGGTCTGTAGGGAGAAATCATTACTGCCTCCATTCTGAATCACCCTCAGGACCTGGACAAGCCTGGATTTTCTCTTTTTTCCATGAGACCCTGCAGTGTCAAAATGGCCCCTTGATTCCATGAGGCTGCACAGTGTCCCCAGGTTCCTTTGGCTCCAGAATGTCCTGTAGTGTCATGGTGGTCCCTTCAGTCCATGAGGTGTCCTCAGTGTCAGAGTGACCCCTTGATTCCATGAAGTCGCACAGTGTCCATAGGTTCCATTTTTTCCACGAGTTTCCCCAATGTCACAATGGCCCCTTGATTCCGGAGGGTTTCCCAGTGTCCCAAGGTCCATTTGGCTCCAAAAAGGCCCTGTAGTGCCACAGTGGTCCCTTGATTTTATGAGGTTCACCTGTGTCCCAAGGTTTCCTTATTTCCATGAGGCTCCACAGTGACACAATGGCCTCCTGGTTCCATGAGGTTCCAAAAGGTTTCAGGGTTCCTTTTGTTCCACGAGGCCCTAAACGTTAAATGGTCCCCTGGTTCCACAAGTTTTCACAGTGTCCCTGTGTTCCTTGGTTTCCATGAGGCCCTGCAGTGCCACAATGGCCCCTTGATTCCATGAGGTTCACAGTGTCATCACAGAGCTGAGCCCACCCAGATAAAAGTTTAGGGGAGATTAGGAGGAACTGAGACAAAAAGGATTGGATATTTGGGGAAGGAAAGAGGGGCTTGACCAACAGAGAGGAAAGATTTTGATGAGGTAAAACCAGATTCAGGTAACGCTGAGGGTGCTGAAACACTAACTGTGCAAACAAACACTCCTGATGGACCTTTATGCACTTTCTAACCTCAAGCCCCAAAAGTACCCAAAAGTGCTGCCCCACCCATTGAAAGGAATCCACTGCTTTAATTCCAAGCCAGAAAAAGCCCAAACTCAGAACTCCAGACTCTTATTTGTCCTCTAGTGCCCACCCCAATCCCAAACCAGTATTAGCAGTATGAAAAGCCAAACTTTAATCCTGACCCAACCCAAAAAACTCTTCCCCTAATCATGAACTAGACACTGCCAGCAGAACAGCAAACCTCCCAAAGTTCTGCCTGAATCCGAAAAACCGGTCTGAGAAACTACTCAGAGACTTTTTTATCTTTAAGCAGCAAGGTATTTGTTTATTCAACGTTGGGAGCAAGCCAGCTCCTGCTGGACAAACTTGCTCAAAGGCTTCCCAGAGAATCAACACTTTTATACAATTTGAAGATGTGATTAAATGCATATTCAGGTGATTACAACATCTATCTATGCATAATAATAACAGGCAGAGTATGGGTGGAGCTCAGGAAGGACTTGGGGTGGTGCTTCTCTTGGTCCTCAATCTTGGAGGTAGTTCTGTCTATCCTCCATGGGGCAGGGGTCTTAAACTCATCTTCCTCAACCTGACCTCTCTTCTTTTCCATTGTTCTTGACCCGCTCACTGAAGCTTGGAAAAAGCCCTGGCTCCTGGCCTATTTCTTCTATTCAGATGTCTACCTAATCCTAGTGCATCTTAATTTATTACCTCTAGGATTATTACATGTTCTTTTACCATTCTCTTAAGCTTTGGTCCAGTAAGTAGAACAGAACGAGCACAGATCGTTTTGGATGTTGGTAGCTTGTTAGCAGGACCAAATTTCTTAGTTAACTCTTTTGGGCCTGGCCTCCTCTTTCAACCTAATCCTGACCCTGAGCTCTAAACCCCAAGCCCTGACCATTAAGCACCCCCACAGCCCTTGGGAGCAGGGCAAGGACCTGGAGGGCCCAGAGCAGGCCCAGGGGGTTGGCAGAGGAATGGGAGGTGACCTGGATCTGCTCAGCTCTGCAGTGACTCCCAGGAGAAGGGCCTGGGCTCTGGCAGGGATGTCCTGTGGCACAGGGGCTCAGGATCCAAGTTCAGAAGGCCAAGTGCACATGGCAAAAGCCAGAGCTGGTGCAGAGACATCAGGGAGGGTCTAGAAATGCTGCTGGGAGGGGGTGGGAAAGCAGGAGGGGTGTGTGCAGCCTGCAAGGCCAGAGCAGCAGCAGGGCCAGGGCAGGACAGTCTGCAGGAGAGGTGGCCAAGGGCTCTGGCAGGGCTGCAAGGCCCAAAGGCACCCAGGCCTTTGTCCCCTTGCCTCTGGCAGCTGCCTCTGCCACTCAGGCCACCACAAGCAACTTTCCTGGCAGGTTCTGCACTTGGGTTCTGCCTCGCCCCTCCCTCAGGAGCCTGGGAGGGTTTACCCAGTTTTGGGCCTTTGTTGTTCTCCCCCCTCCCATCCCACTGCCCCCAAACAGCCCTGAGCCAGCCGAGAGGGACAGGATCTGCTGGGCCAGGGCCTGGGGCTCAGGCCTTGGCCTTTGTGCTCCACAAAACCAAGGCAGGCTTTGCTCAGCATTGCAGGGGCCTGCCCAGAGCCTTTGTCTGCCTGCACTCCTGGCCTCCAAGGAGCTGCTCCAAGGAGTCCCTGGGGAGGCTTTGGCAGTGCCTGCCCTCAGTGGGGCCCAGCAATGCTTCAAGGCACTTGCAGTTTGGTTTCTGACTTCTTCAGCAGCTGCTTCAATCTTCTCTCAGTACCTCAGCATCATGGGCTGGGCTGCAAACACACCGTGGGGCTCATTAAAATGCAGAAATCCCTCAGGATCTCTTTATCTTCCTTTAATTGTCTTCAAGGTAATTTCAAAACAAGTCTTCAAAATGTGTACTTTTTTGTTTTAATTCAATGATGGATACTTTTCTGTTCAGAGGAGAGGTGATAGAGGTGTTCTCCAAGTGATCTCGATGCTGAGTGTCTCCTCAGGAGATCCACACTGACCCTGGATGATCAACCTTGCTCCTCACCCCCCAGCCTCACCAGTTCTGACATGACCCATCTTGGACTGTCAGCTGATGCAGCTCCAAACACACTGTGGGACCCATTAAAACACTGAAAAACAAATTATTTCCCTTCCTTTAATTGTTTTCATGTCTTCAAGACTTCTGCAGCTTATTGGAGTTGTTTTGTAGTTTAGTTAAGAAGGAAAATTTTAAAGTGGACGTCACAAAAAATATATATTTTTTGATGAAAGGGAATTATTTACACAATGCCTTGGGATGCAAGAGGATCAGGGCACAAAGGATTTGGATCCAAACACAAGGGGGCAAAAGAGATTAGTAGCACTTAATCATTGACCAATTGAACAATTACCAAGTGGTTCAATAGCATTTGCTACAATTTTAACAGTGACTGAATTATAGATTTACAAGAACAACATTCCCACCACAGTCCATTCACACCCACACCCAGGCAGAGATGTGAGGACACATCAAGAGCTGGGTGTGGAAAGGTCCCTCACCCAAATTCTCCTTGTTGTCAGGGAAACACTCCCCCAAATCCCTTTGTGTTTGCCAACAGACAAGGGTCCCAGCTGGAGGAGTGTTTGTTGAGAGGGATCAGAATTGTCCTGGGCATCAGCGCCGCTCTTTGGAGTGTTGCA